CGAGAGCGAGAATCAGGAGAGTGAGGAACATGAGTGTGATGATCGGCGCCATGTGGGCCTGCTCCACGGGAGGAGGGATCGCGATCCTGTCGGTGACCGGGGGGACCCACTCCACAGCAGGGCGGCGATGTGGGACCTGCTCTACAGCATGTCGGGGCGCCATCCTTAGGGCGTGGAAGAACAGGCTCGGCAGAGCCGAAATTCGTGACAATTTCGTTGCTTTGCTGCGCGGTGCGCGAGGCACATCGCAGCACGGCACGTGTTGCAGCATGCAGTGTGTCGCTTGCGTAATTGTCGTTGCAAGAAGCACCGCATCCATAGCGGATGGGCCGGCACGCCCAAAAGGTAGCACAGGAGCGCGCGGTACAGATTTGAGCCGATTTCCGTGCAGCATTTGCTGTGTTGCATCGGCTCCTGGAGAGTAACGGTCTGAAGGGGCCGAGTCTGCCGGGGAGGGGGAAACGTAACGAATTCCCCCCCCCCCGCGAGGTAGCAGAAAAACTTCAAGACCTTTGGGCCGCAGCTAGGTGGCCGGATGGCTGTCGCCGCCGTGGGACCGTTTAGATTGCCACAGTGATTGCGTACAGGCTACTTGTCCACCTCCAACCCACCTGTGGACCTCCAGCGTCCACCAGCTCAGCACCCCGACCTCCAGACTCCAGCATCGGACTTTCCGCCTCCACCCCCACCTATCGACTGCCCCCTCCACCCCGCCGATCGACCTCGAGCCTCCAGCATCCGAGAGCGAGAATCAGGAGAGTGAGGAACATGAGTGTGATGATCAGGAGGGTGAGCTTCAGGAGGGCTGGGAGGACGACGGGCCAGGAGGGCGGGGGGGCGGAGGGGACAACTACGGAGCAAAGCCGGAGCACATCGCAAGGGAAAAGACGACGACAAGGGCGACGGTAACGGCCCCCCTCGGCCGCGCACATGCCGCATGCCTCGGGCTATGATTTGCAACCTCCCTTTTTCCACGCCCCTCGCTGTCGGGAAGACCCGCTCAAAACGGGTCCCTGGGGTCCAAGCGCACTGGCTTTCCGAGCGGCGTCCAGCCGCGCCGACCAGGAGGGCCTCCGAGGGCCAGGAAGCCACGATCCTCGACCCTCGAAGTTCGAACATCGACGTGAACCCGTCTCAAAATCGACGGGATCCGGTCAAAATCGGCCCCCAGACCCCTCCCGGGGTCCCCTGGACGCACATGTTCACCCCGGATCGGTTTCCGAGGGTCCCCGGGCAAAAAAAAGGCCTCCAGGAGCCGAAACGACGAAAGCCTCCTGGATCCTCGAGGTTCGAACCTCCACGGGAACCCCCTTCCATGCCCCTCTCCCGGGCGCCCCCCCCACTTTCGCTCAGGGCGCCCGGATGCCAGAGTGGCCAGGCCCCCCCCGGACGACGACGGCGGCGACGGCGACGACGGCGACGACGACGACGACGAAGACGACGACGACGGCGACGACGACGACGACGACGAGGACGACGGCGACGACGACGACCACGACCACCACGACGACGACGACGACGACGACGGCAGCGGCGGCGGCGGCGGCCGCAGCGACGACGACGACGACGAGGACGACGATGGTGACGACCACGGCGACGACCATGGCGACGACCATGGCGACGAGGGTAGGCGCGTCGTGCTTTGGCACAGTCATTTTCAGAAGCTCGCCCCCTGACTCCGCGTGGCAAGCCATCGTGCCGCACGCGCAGATGAAAGGGACGCCTGCCGGGAAAGTAGCAGCACCTACAGTGGCGATCATGCTCCACACTCCTTCGTGGGCGCCTTCCGTGGTCAACAGCACTCCCAACTGGATGACCGGACGTGCGCGAGGAAGCAGCTGGGAACACTTTTACTGGACTATGCCGCAAAGTACGCTCGTTGGGGCGTCAGGGCCTGCCACCAAGGCGCACACCTTGAACAACTGGCAGCTCTCCCCCGAAAGCCCCAGACCCGTCTTCAAGACGGCCGCCGTGGTAAATCGAACGAATTGTTGCACGCTCACAAACTTGCCCATGGATGCGCACGGGCACTGGCCATGGCACGCCAAGAGCGTCGCCCACTTTCACGCCACGCACGGCAGCGCTAGGGCCGCCGAGAAGGCGAGGGGGCCCTCCTTCTGCGACTGGGTTCCGAAGCCGACGCCGGCGAACAGGTAGACCGCACACGCAAGCACGATGGGTTTCATGAGCACGAGCGAAGAACAGCCCGACGGGCAGCACCTGCTTGAAAACGGTGCCGGCCTCCAGCCCAAGTGCCTAGATTTCCCCGTCCAGGTACGAGGAAGAATATGAACGTCGCCTTCAAGCCGACTGCACGCAGGACGAGGATCGCCGCCAACACGCGGACCTCGTTGGGAGGAAGGCGCCAGAAATCCCCGGAGATTGCCCGCGACCCGGGTGCCGCGCAGGATTTGTTTGAGGCGGCCCCCGGGGCCTGGAAACGGCCCCCAAGGGCGGAAATCACAAAAGTGCCCCCGAAGATCGGCGTTTCACGGGAATC